ACCCGTGGTTAGTCTTTGATACATTGTTTATAATAACAAAAAATTATCTAGAATTCTATGGTTACACTACAAGTCACTAATGTTTGCATTTCTTTCTGACTAAGGACCCATTCCTTCTGACTTATATTTGTTTGAATAAAGAAAAAACATCAGTCAACTTCAGTGTATTCATGACCAGATCGTTTAATACGTGTAGCTAAATACATTTTGTCCTGGGCTACAGTCAAACTATTCCCAATCGGACATTTTGTACCTATCTAGTACCCAGCTAGGTTTGGGTAATAGGTTGGTGGGTACCCAGGTAGAAAATTTGGACTCGTCCCAGCCCTACAACAAATAGATTCCAATAAAATTATCATTAGATGGGATGGGGTCTGTTAACTACCTCAGTATTTGTTGAAGTGAAAAACACTCTATAAAATGGTAAACATTCGATTCTAGTGACTGTGAAGAACAAATTCAGTTCATGAAGGGATACCGCTTTGATTCACCGGATACGCGAGAGAATTGTAACAGCCCTAGTTGCAACTACATTCATTTAGAACAGGAACCTTTAATTCCTATTTGTGAATTTACACTGACAACTGCTGCAGACATTGGACCGAACATCTGCCTCTGAGATGGTAATGATAAGTCCCTGGCCTTCATCATTAAAGATGTCCCATAAGCTGAAGCCTTTTACCATGTTAACAGTCTTGGCCGAAATGTTTTTATTGGTTCCTGCATTAAAACCAATCAGAGCGTTGCTTACCAACTCAGGAAAGGGGCAGACGGAATATGTTTTCTAATCATGCAACCTCAAAAAGGTTAACGCATCCCAAACAACAGTTACAGGCTGTGCAACCGATTCCATCAAAATCATCGTCTACCTTTCACTTCAATGAAATAGACATTTGAAACAGAAGAGACTTTCCATACGCTGTGGGAAGAACTGTCATACAACCTAGGCCCTCTAGTACACATTCCGGAAGTTTCCTTTGTTCAGTTTTCAAATTTGTTTTGATATTTTTCAAAGGAATGGAAGTCACCAGTTTGAAACTAGTGCAGAAAAGCTCGAGCAGTTTGTAAAATGTCGTTCTGACGTAACCTGTAATGGGATGTCCACTGTTTTTTTAGTAGCAGTAGCGAGCACTAAAGTACTGTCAGAAATGCTAAGAAAATGCTTTTCTAGGCTTCATTTAATAAATACAAATCACAGGGCTATGAAAATTGCATATATCAACTTTACACAAATCTACCTAATCTAGCCACTACTGACACTGTGATTAGACTGAAAAGGTACTTTTACTGGTAACTTGAAGATAAACTTAGAAAGTATTTGTGTGTTGTCATGCATGTATGAAATGGCCCTGAAGAGTATTTACAATGCCTGTGAGACACACATGATGAACACACATATTTGGGGGACCTTACTTCCTAAATATTCCCCTTACTCAGCATATATCTGTTTCGGAATCTTGACTTAACTCACTATAGCAATGCATGGACATTCTGTCTCTACTGTCATGTCTTTCTCTCTGACAACTGAAGCATGAAACCTTGGAAACTACAAACAATATGTGGCGATGCATAGACATTTATGAATAGATATATAGATTGCTATGCTCTGATAATTCATACAAGATTAGGATCAACTGAACTGATCATTCCAAGCAGCAAATTAGACTCGCCTTCAAGTAGCTTGTCAAACAACATTTAGAGCGGTGGCAGCAGTACTCTGACAGAGAAAGTAGCCGGACACTCACCAAACATTTATTTATAGCTAATTAGGCAAACTGCTGATACCCAAACTTAACAGGCAAGTATAATCCGTTTTCCCCATAGGCCATTTAAAAGTGTGTTTGCTAGAGATAACTCTCTATACAAACCGTCCACGATCACCCATCAAACATGACTGCCATGCCCCTACGTTTTCATACTTTTTCGCTAAGCAAAGCTGTTTTCGGTCTTAAATTAGTGTTTTCCAAACGACTCATTTTAAATTAACCTTGGTGCATCGTAGGACTTTAAGTAAATGTAACGACATTCCATGAAAGAAGATAACTTGAAAATTCAATACATAGCACTGTTTAAGCGATGTTCGGGTACTACCTAGATGAAAAAAAGTGGTAAAGGACTACTTGGACACGTTTTTTTTTTAAATTAATCAATTAAAGATCTTCCAATTTGAAAATATAATACTTTATTTTGGGTGTACAGAGTGATATATAAATTAATATAACTTAATGCAATTAATAAAAAATAAGATGGAATCTGTATATATCATAAGGTAATATATTTAGATGTCTACATTCAACCTATTCCTAAAATAAAGTAGAATTTCTTCGTAAAAATAGTCTGTGTGTCATTATCTATTATTGCATATTATTTTACAGATTTTTTAAATATCTATAGAATCCATTCCATTTATTTCGATCTACTAATATATTTTACAACATTTAGAACGTGAGCCAACATGAATGAAAACCTTTGCTTAACCTTGAAATCTAAAAAAGGAAGTTGAAGCAGCCACCGCTTGCAGAATGTCCGTAGGAAAAGCTGCTGTATCTTATGATATTCCTCAAGCTAGACTCTGTGATAAAATATAACAAAAAGTGCCATTGGAATATCAAAAAGATGAAGAGGATCAACTCACCCAATGTGTTATACAAATTTCAAAGATTGGGTATGGTCGTGCCAAAATAGACTCATTATAGTGGTGGCCATGCATGTATGTCAGGTATATCAAGACGCACATATACACGTATCTATCATTTATAGATAACTGTAGTATTATAAATTTGCATCTTACATTGATATAAATTACCTAACAGTGAGTGAGTTGGATTTAATGCTGCTTTTAACAGTATTCCAGTTATATTGCAGCGTGTCAGCTTAATGTGGGAGGAAAGCCCGAAGTGATGCAGGTCTCAGACGTTTACCACTTCGGTGAAACCTACGAGCACAGGTATGGTGCTGACAAACCTAGAAACATAATCAGGGCGAACCAGGATTTGAACCCACAAACATAGGTTTCTGGTGTGCCCAGGGGACGCAACTCGGCACAGCGAATCACGGCGCCTTAGATGACTGGGCCACCCGTGCCTCCAAATTACCTAACATGATTATATTGTAGCATATGTATGGTGTGTGCGAGATATAGCTGAAACACTACTCATTATTGTAAATTTAAATACTTGCATATTTTCTTTCTTTCAATTGTTTTTTACCATTTTTCACTTTATACCACTTACATTCATGTCCTTGATGGTGGTTCTTGAACCCGACAACAGGTTTGACAGGAATGCAATGTAAAATCATGATGCCAGAAGTATTGGATACACAGAGATATCATGTAGAAGCAGAGGTGTGAACACCATCACATAGACAAGTAGCCTGAGATATTGCTGGTGCCATGCCGTTTGTGTACCAAGACAGTTGCTGAGGTTTTTAGCTCAATATTTAGGACAACAACATTATGAGGGTGACTCATGATGCCCAAGCTAGAGGCGGTGGTCTTAAACAGGACTATATTGTTTTTATGTATTGGCCAAGAGGCAAGTTGTTGAAGAATGAATTGAATACCATCATAATGTAGGGTGCTAATTCTACGTTATCAGTGTAGATAATGATTTACAGCTTACTGTGGGTGACATTTGATCATACATTTTAGAAATCGTTCATATTACTGTTTACCACATACGTTCGCTCAATGAATCAGCTATGTTAAACTAAGCGTCTGAAAAATAACAAGCCATGTATGATACGACATGTTAATAATGAGGTGGAGGCTATGTTTCAATGTCGCCATTCCATTCTAATTCCATTGCATATTTTTTTTTAAAAAGCAACATATGATAGTGACCAAATTCAGCCTCTCTGCTGTCTGGGTACAGCCGACTGTGTCAGAGTACTACCTAAGCTGCCGTCAAGCTAACAGCACCAGGTTCAGACTGAGCAAGATGTTCTGTGACTGTTGGTCAATTTTGAAACCACCAGCAGTTGTCTCCCTTTGTATCATCAATTTTTTTTCCATTCAAATCTGACAATAAGTTTGTGTGTTGTATTGCGATGATTGTTATGTGTCTGGGTACTGCCTCCCCCACTCTATAGTTTCTTTACATATATCAGAACAATTCTTTCATCTACTGGTGTTTTAAAAAATAAATTGAACTAGTAAGTGAGTGAGTATGGTTTTACGCTGCTTTTAGCAATATTCAAGCAATATCACGGCATGGACACCAGAAATGGGCTTCACACATTGTACCCATGTCGGGAATCGAACCCGGGTCTTCGGCATGACGAGGCGAATGCTTTAACCACTAGGCTACCCGACCGCCCCAAATTGAACTAAAAGAACTTGACTTTATTGTCTTCAAGGTGTCTGCAAGTAATACAGTATCATGACCATGATGACACTTCTGTTCCAATTTAATTTTCTTTTCGTTGACTTGCTGACAGTTCTAATCTGATATCAATAATGTAAAACATTAAAATGTAATTCATAAAAAGAGATAATCTGAACTTCAAGTATCCAAAATGAAGTTCATTTTAATACTTATTGTTTTTATGTTATGTTTATCCAACACTATCTACTTATCAACTATCTCTATCTAAATAATTGAATTCAGTAACATACTCGGTAGGCTTTGGCTTGCCTACTCTTAATATTGATTTGACCTAGGCCTACATCAGGGCATCAAATCAATAATCAATAACCAAAACGTAGATCCAGTGAACCAGATCCACTTATTTCAATTTTCGGGATCAACATTTCCATTCTTACATTAAAATCTACACTTCATAAACGATAAATGTCATATCAGCACATGAAGTCACAGGTGAATCTAGTATTATGGACCAGGCCTATGCCTAAATCCACATTCTCAATGTGCCTTGAATTATACATGTTCCCCGGGATGGGGACACAGTTCAATTTTTTTCCGGATCATTAATGACAGTCGCATATCGCACATAGCATAGGTAGAAAAAAACATGTATATAAATGATCATGCACTTACAGAAGTTGCTTGTGTTGTCGACAAATCCAAGATACGCAAAGCTTGTTGATCTCGCAGTAACAACGCTTTCCGGGTCACTTTTGCACCGCACAACCTTGACCAACCTTGCGTCAGGCGAAACTTCAAATAAACTATTTTCTGTACGGCAAATATTATATGAATGTGCACCAGACCGTATCGTTCCAGTTTTTACACGATTAACATTTCGTTTTTGACTATACATTTGATAATTGTCGTTTCATAAGGTGCTCTGGTAGACAGATGGTTGATTTGCTGAAGTACAAATTATGTCAGGTTAAAAAAAAAACTTTCAGATTTTTGTTGGTTTTTTACTGACGAAGTGTTGATTAGATACAAACATCAATATTGTTCTTGAGATCAATTCAGTCGCTTAAAATCTTCAAACACAGATTTGTGTAATTACTGTTCACATAGCCATGCCATCATGTTTCACCAGAGACCATATAATATATGGTCTCTGGTTTCACAGTCTTCATTCAACACCATAGCGCTGATCGGCACTAGCACATAGACAGGACCATCACGTAAGGCATCCTTACCGTATTCGACATAATAAGGCGCTCTCAAAGTTAGAAATAGGGGGCTCTTATTAGAATATTATTTTGGTGAAAAAACAACAGAGTTGAAAGATCGTAAATGTTGTGGTTTATGCTGACAGTCTGAAATGTTTATATACGACAGATATATTTTTTCCATAATTTAATTTCCCATAATTAAGCAAGCATATAACATATACGTATTATACACGAACAAATAAGTCCTGTGTACATTAATCAATCGGAAGGGGTGCTAATTGGGATTGTTCACTAGCCAATATATTAGTAAATATCGCCGTGGGCCTTATTAGAGCGGCGCGATTATTACGTCGAATATGGTATTGTTGTGTTTTACAACTCCCGCCCCATACAAATTCCCTATCGTGGAAAAAATTAATTGATGTTTTTAATTCCTGAGCTATCCGCCGTCCATCTGTCTTTGTATTCCGGTTCCTGAAAAAAGGATCACATTTCACAATTAGAACGTGTTTTGAAAAGGTCTACGCTATTTTACTGAAAGAAAAATGAAAACCACGTTTTTATATATAAATGACAGACTATATATGCATGCGTTGAAAACCTGGAAGGGGAGGAACTCTTTGCTACTTTTATTTCTGTGTTGCGATGGGATTCGCTTAAGTAGACAGAAGTTACTGCCACTTTTGCAAAACCTCCTGACTATACTACCTTCGGTGATTCTTTCAGTGATAAGAGAGTTAAAGTGACTTTGTATCACAAAAAGCTTGACTTTGAACCAACACAGCTTGTCCATGTTTCCCTTCATGAACTTATTCGCCTAGTTCACTTGCAGTTAGCCAATTTGGTAATTTTACTGTGATTCCATGCAATTGTACGTATATTTTGTCAGGTCATGCTTCATCCAAATATAAACGAAGCCGTTAGGGTGGCCAAAACTTACCGGGGGCAATTACCACTTTTAAATAATACACCGATGCTACTTCGATCTACTGTTTTATTACAAGAAGCAAGACATTCTGATTCTTATATTTCTAGCAGAAACCCTAGCTTAATCAGTGCTTATAATACTGTATTCAGTAGTTTTGTTATTTGCGTGACATTTGTGAGATATATTTTTGACAAAGTTGACAGTAGTTGTCCTATTTTCGTTCAGCGGTGGAAATCGTCAAAAAGGGGTGTGGCTAAAACGGCACCTCAGCAAAACGTCACCGATTTCTCTGGCGAAAACAGCACCGAATTTGGCGAAAACGGCAACTATGTGTGGGGACAAAACAGCGCCTCTATTTTTAATAACGATAAGAACGATTTATGTAGTAGTATATCTGATTTATGTCATTTGTTACATATTAATATTTAACCTTTTCGTTTTTGTTTTGGACATTTTCATTTTAGTTTTTGACATTTTCGCTTCACATTTCAGCGATTCAATAGCTACTTGAAATTAAATTTTCCATGTTTTCGGTTGTTTTTATACATGATTTATCACATATTTGTATGATAAATTGTGTTAATTTGCAAAAGGTTACGATAAAAGTAAGTGAAATATCAAAATATTGAAAACAGATTCCATGTCCCTTATGGGCCACCGTATATATGCTTATAATATGTGAATCTGCTTAATATGTGATATCACGAACATCGATCCACGCAATTGTGATTCGCTGACATGCATCAATCAAGTCAGCGAGGGTGACCATGCGATCCCGTTAGTCGCCTCTTACGACAAGCATGGGTTATGAAGACCTATTCTACGCCGGATATTGACGGGTCCGGTTAATAATGAGTAATTGGTCAATGTATTGTTTGAAATGCAAATATGTCAATTGCAGACAATACAATATTTAACGCAGTGTCATAAAATCCCATTGGCTTCCTTGTTGTATTTTTACAGTCCTACTTTGTGTAAAAATATCAGCATGTATATACATGAATTCACCCGAAGTCACAATTGTGATGACATTCAGCCACCAGAAAGTTACTACAAAGAGTTACAACCTCCCTGCACTTTACAAAATTCCAAAATTGACACTGCTTTAAATCAGAAGTCACTTAACAAGAAAATCCAATCCTACTATGATCAGTAGCCATTGTCTATAGTCCTCTAAAGTCCTCATTCTTTTACCAATACCAGGACACCCACTAAGAGCTAGGTACTATGGCCCTTACTTTGTACACAAGAAATTGAGTGACACAGATTATGTCATAGAGACTCCAGATCGGAGAAAGACCAAAAGAGTTTGTCGTATCAATTTGATGAAAACTTACTATGATAGGTATGCTGAAAGTGTGTCACAGACTGTGATTGTTAGCACTGTAGACACAGTAGAGATAACTGAGGAGGACACATTAACTAGAGACTCTTGTACTAAGAGCAAGGGAGAACCCGATGTGAAGCTTAATAACTCAGATGTCTTAAACAATCTGGATGCTAAGTTATCACATGTGACGAGTGAACAGAAGATAGAACTGGAAGAGTTAATTCATATGTACTCACATTTATTTCCAGATGTGCCATCTAGGACAGATTGTATCTTTCATGACATAGATGTAGGGGATGCAACTCCTGTCAAGCAGCACGCATATCGTGTGAATCCTGTCAAGTTAGCTCAACTTAGAACAGAGATTCAGTACATGATGGACAATAATATCATCGAACCCAGCAGCACTGCTTGGGGTTCACCGTGTATACTTGTAACAAAGGCTGGGGGCGGCATTCGTCTATGTAATAATTACAAACGTGTTAGTGCCCTTTCCAAATCTGACTCTTACCCAATGCCTAGAATACACGATTGTATTGATAGGATAGGAAATGCTAGGTATGTAAGCAAGTTTGATTTATTGAAGGGATACTGGCAGATCCCGTTAACAGATAGGGCAAAGCAAGTATCAGCTCTAGTCACACCAGAAGGCTTATATCAGTATAATGTAATGCCTTTTGGATTGAAGAATGCCCCAGCTACCTTTCAAAGACTTATCAACACCATCACAGCAAGTATTGACCATTGTGAGGCATACATTGATGACGTCATTGTGGCTACAGTTGAGTGGGATGTTGAGATGAAGACCACGAGAATGTTATTTGACTCTCTCACTCGTGCTAAACTCACGATCAACTTGTCCAAGAGTGAATTTGTGAAGGCCACAGTGGTGTAGGATATGTATGACAAGGTGAAGTTAAACCGGTCCAGGCCAAAGTAGAAGCTGTGAACATGTTTCCAGAACCTACAACCAGGAAAGAATTGATGAGATTCTTAGAGATGGCTGGATATTATCGCCGAATCTGTCAGAACTTTTCTCAAGTAGCAGCTCTATTGATCAATCTACTGAAGAAAGTCTGCAAATTTACCAGGGAAAAGTCTCAACAACAGGCCTTTGAGAAGATCAAAGCTATTCTGACTAATGCACCTGTGTTGGTTGTGCCAAACTTCAACATGACCTTCAAGCTCTATGTTGAGGCCTGTGACATAGGGGCAGGAGGAGTACTACAGCAAGAAGATGATTTGGGAATAGACCATCCCATTTGCTACTGTAGCAAAATATTTGACACTCATCAGAGAAACTACTCAACCATAGAGAAAGAGACTCTGGCCCTGATACTAGCTCTCCAACACTTTGAAGTGTACCTTCGAACAACGGTGACGCCAATACTTGTGTTCACAGATCACAATCCCCTTGTGTTTGTGAAGAAACTAAAGAATAAGAATCAGCGACGCTAGAGCATTCAGTTTGAGAACTTTGATCTGGACATTCATCACATCAAGTGAAAAGACAATATATTGGCTGATGCTCTTTTACGTGCAGTGTGAACTGAGGTGACAATTTATATTCACCCCTATGAACTGAAAAACAAAGCCAGCTATATTTTCAAACAGTGGAACATGAGTTCCTGAATTACGATGTGTGATCATGTGACCCTTGCACAGTCAGGTTGGTTAGGCTCATCATCAGCTCAGGGCCCTTGCCTCCTCTACATGCAGCCCAGACAGCGAAAAGGACTTCTCCCAGGAAGCGCTGCCTAGTCAAACCCACCAAGAATCTTTCAGAGAATGTGAAGACTCCCCAACACTGCAGCCTTCTGCATTACCCAGATTGCCAGAAGGCCTGTATTCCTGGCCGCAAACCCGGGTACTCTCCCAATGTCAGTCAACAGATTGGGAGGTACCAAACCTAAGGCACCGAGAACTAGGGGAGTCAGACAACTTAGTACTTGGGATACAAGCGTGAGATTTCGAAAGCGAGGTCTGCATATTTGCCATGTTTTTCCTCAATCTTGTCAATCACATTACTGTCATTACTGACAGAAAAGTCAATGATATCAATGATTTCATTGGATTTATCAAAAAGGACAAGATCAGGTTTGTTGGGTTGGATATGTCTGAGGATGTATTCCAAAGGATTTTGTATTTGTCATTTTCCATGACGCCCTCTGAATATTCCGGGTCGTACCTTGGATGGACCTCTGTGTCAAAGCCACAAGCATGGCGAAGACGGTAATAAAATGATCGAGCCACCCCATCATGTCGCTTAAGATACTGTGTCTTTGCCAAAGCTTGGCATCCACTCACAATGTGTTGGACAGTCTCATTAAATCCATTACATAATCTACATTTCATATTCACATTTTGATGCAAAATCACACTTTGACGGTTTCGAGTTTGAAGTGACCGGTCCTGAGCAGCAAACAGAAAGCCTTCTGTTTTACTTTTCAGGCCAGACGACTTCATCCAAGCGAAGGACTCTGCAGGATTGCTGATCTTCTCAACACACTACACATAAACTCGATGCAGAAAGCCTCTTCTTGAAAAACACTGAGTCTGGGCCGATTTGATATGGCACTTCGCTTGGTTGACACTCATTTCTGTACCGTCCAGCAGTACAGAACCATCAACAAAATCAACACCGACATTGAGATGATGTCCACATCCTTGGCTCGTTTCAGAAAACTGTGGAATGCCTTGTTTTCATCATGAGTCTTGACATGGTTCACAAGAGGATCATCAGATAAATAAATGAGTGCAATTTTTGTTGTTGTTGTTGTTGTTGTTGTTGTTATTGTTGTTGTTATTATTATTATTATTATTATTATTATTATTATTATTATTATTATTATTCAAGAACGAATATTTGCGTTGCTTGAAGTCAAAGAAGCCGGTATGAAATACTTCAATGTGGTGATATTGAAAGGTTAATTCATAAACTCCATGACTGTGTTCAAGAGAACCCTTATGCTTTACACATTAGGAGAGGTCACGTTTCAACTTGTCGTGGAGGTCGTGACTAAATGTTGAAAGCATTGACTTAACATGCTAATATCTTTTAAACATGCCTTCATTAAGTGAATCTGGATTGGTAAACAAGCCAAGGAGGCTTATTTTAATAATCTACAGTACAAGTTATATATATCATGAAGGCAATATACGAATACAATATACAAATACACGATGGTAGAGTGATGTAATTAACAGAAGCAAGTGGACATGGACAACAGTTTGGTGTATGAGTAGAAGAAGATTAGTATTGTATATGTGTAGGATTTATAGTCTCACGTTAGCTTCAATATTTTGGACTCGGCAAGCATGCATGCATGTAATGATTACAAGATATCTGAATGTCTAGTTTTGTAAAATTAGCATTGCCATTCAATATTGTGTTAAGATCAACTCCCTCAGAGTAGAAGAAAGAATACGCAAATCTCACTTGTGAGATAAAACTGTACAAATCTCTTTGCATTGAATGTCAGAAGAAGTGTAAACGAATAAAGTAACAGAAACAAGACTCTATTATTGTGGTCATGTTTAAAGAACCAATCAATTCATTGTGGAAATATAATTAATTACTTAAAGTAATTACTTTGGTCTTCGTGTAATTTAAAGAGATCTAAATTAAAACGAGGAGATTAAATTAAGGAGTCTAATTTATTTCAGTCATTCTGTCTGAAATCCAGTCTCATGTTACAGGTAATATACATATCATACATACTGCCTGTTTATTTTGACTGTAACATATATATTGACTCAATACGCTTCCTGTATAGCCACCTGTTGAAGGGGCAAGACACAGTCCGGTCGATACAATCAATAGGGAGGTTCTTTTCAATAAAAGTGTCATATCTTCAATATCTAATAGTGCAAAATGCAAAATTATAAGGAGATACATTTCCGATAGTATACATGTACTGTTTTGTTCGCTTTGTGTAAAATTGAAGGAAGATGTTTTTCGAAATCACCAAAGTATTCACAGTCTAAATATACTCGATCTATCAGTCTTTCCTGATTAACAAACATATATTTTTTATCAATTCCTATTTATACCCGTAGATTGCTGCAATATCTATATTTGAGACAGGAAAGACTTAGGAACATGCTTCTAATCAATGTCTACTACATATAAGTTTATTGCGCATTTTCTTTTTTCACTCTGCATTCGTATCGTTGTTATGAACTAATCGCAAATAACCTGCATCCGACTTAAATATCGACACTATTATCTTTAGAGTTATGTTTTTATTTCTAGCATTATCCAATACGATATTATCGTCAAACAGTGTATCCATTATTCTATATGTTCCCCCGTGATGTAATACCTCGCTTCAATAAGTGTTTGATAATATATTTTTTCATTTTTCTAATAAATAATTTGACTTATTGGTTCAGATACAGCAGATATCTGCAGCAGCCACGGCTGGGACAGAGTTTGGGACATTGAGCTTGAGCTTTTGGTTTTGAGCTACACATTTTACGTACACTTCTTTCTGTAGGGTTTGCCATTCATTTAATGACTGAACTGCATCACACAGCAATTCACGAGAATCAGTGGGCTAATCCGCCAAAACAATGGAACTAAAAATACAAACATCAATAAAACTCGATAAATAGCCCATGTGCTGTCAGACGTTCTTTATGTTGTTTATATTATCGTTACAAAATACGCTTTATTGAAAGTAGTACTAAATCCGCCAGGGGCGGGTAACTCTCAATGTCGGACTGTCCTTCGTATTTGATAGCACGGTGTTAGAAGGTGCATTTGTGTTGGTATCGTTCATGTTCCGTTCGTTACCCGGAGAAGTAATTATCCCGGAACGAACAGTCAGCCTTCACTGTTTCAAGAGTTTATGTCCGGCCAACCTGCCAGTGACGGGCAGTGAGTGCCGCAACTAAGTTGACGGAAGTATTTGCTCGTGTCAGCTATTAATGAATGATTCTTGTTTGGGACTATCCAGAATGTGATCAGGACTCTTTTAACGACTGCACATGCAAAAGATAAGTTTTACGTGGAAACTATTACTTCTGAGCCATGGGTCACGTCAAATGCGTCTGTATAAAACTTGTGGTCAGCTGTTGAATGTAATGTTGATCTAGGGGGATACTTTGAAACAAAAAAACATCACAACGTTTCATCATTGTTCCACAGGGTTGACACTCTGCTAGCAATCTTGCATGTCTCGTGTCAAATCAACACATATCCCTTCAGTAGAAGAGAGTGTAATAAGAAACAAAATGTCCAAGAAAAGTGTGAGAAGAATGTTGCATTTGTGTCGCAGGACTTCAGAAACTCTGAACAATGAGGAAATAAGCTTGCTAAGTGAAGAACTTCAGAACTTACTTGACAGTACAAAAATTGACCTAAATCATCCAAGAAACAAGGGTTCTCTTCCCCTGTGTGAAGCTTGTCGATCTGGGAATGAGTGGGCTGTTGATGTGTTGCTACTGAGTGGTGCTGATGTCAATGTTTGTGATAAGAACAAGTGTACGCCAGTATATATTGCAGCTTCCCATGGGCATAAAGCCATCCTACAGAAACTTCTAGACAGAAAAGCTGATGTCAATGTGAAAAACTTGCAAGGTTACCTCCCCTTGCTGTCAGCAGTTGAGAACAACCACAAAGACACAGCGCAGATGCTTGTTGACGCTGGTGCTGATGTCAACATCCTCCGACCTAACACGTTCGGAATATCAATGTCGCTAATGACCTTTGTCCTGTTTGCCAAAAGCGATATTCCTTTTGCTGAACAGCTGTTGGAGGCAGGAGTTTGTCCTCATTCCTTTGAAAAGCCTTTGAACTTTATCCTTCTGGAATATGGTGATGACTGTCGAGAGTTTATCAAGAAGCTGGTCTATGCAGGTTTTGACTTTTATTGCGATGGATGGATTAAGATGGCAAAACACAAAATTGTGGCTGAACTTGCTGAAGTGAGTGACAACGAAAAAGATATGATAAAGTTTCTGGAATATGAGTTTCGCAATCCTAGAAGTTTAGAAAGACTTTGTCGCACTGTGGTTCGCAGTTCTCTCGCAATGTCGCATAAGAAATGCCACATCCGGACGAAGGTGCAGCAGCTGCCGTTACCAACTGAGGTGAAGAAGTTTGTGATGCTGCAGTATCTCTGATGTAATGTCATGAGTACACATATTCTACAACATGACCGTTATTTGTTAAGTGAATGACAAGAATAAAAATACTATTTTCAATTGCTACAACTTCTGTTATGCTTTAGGGGGATGGGTGGCTCAGTCATCTTAGGCACCACATTTTGCTGGGCAGAGTTGCGTCCCTTATGTTTCTAGGTTTGTCTTGCTTGTGGGTTTCACCAAAGTGGTAGAAGCCTTAGACCTGCATCACTTCAGGCCTTCCACCTGCATTAAGCTCACGCATGGTGCTATAACTAGAAACTGTTCAAAGCAGTGTTAAACCCAACTGACTCACTCTTGTTGTGCTCTATTATTTTAAGATGAGAAGTTCAAGAAAATATAGTAACTGTACAGAACTGAGCATATGGATAATTAAAAATAGGTCGGATAAACTTCCATGTGTATTATCGGTAACTGTTGTTTGTTTGTTTGTTGTTTAACACCGCACTCAGCAATACTCCTGCTATATGACACGATGTACACGACATATTTAATTCTTTCATCATTATCGACCCGTGAAGATCCAGGGTAGAATAGGTCTTCAGCAACCCATGCCTGCCGCAAAAGTCGACTATACTGGTCGTAAGAGGCAACTACAGGATTTGGTAGTCAGGCTTGCTGACTTGGTTGATGCATGTCATCAATCCCAATTGTGTGCATCGATGCTCAAGATATTAATTACGGGATTGTCTGGTCCAGTCTCGATTATTTACAGACCGCCGCCATATATAGCAGGTCTATTGCTGAGAGCAGCGTTAAAACAACAAACCAACCAGCCAACTTTAATCATTATCAAAAATCAAATAAAGTCTTAATAATACACAGAATGCCTGAATTGAGGTGAAGTGGTGTTAGCCTTGTTAAAGTATGGTCTTTAGGATGGTTTGATTCCCCATTGGGTACAAACTGCACTAGTCAGTGAGGTTAGCTAGCCAGTTTCATTTTGAAGTAGCCAGTTGTTTTCCTCTACCAAATACCGGGTGTGATTTTTTTCTAAAGCTTCAACAAGGTAAGCGCTTCAATAAGGGTATTCTACTCCCATCTGGTACACCTTGTATAGCCCTTTCCCCTTGAACTGCAATGTTGACTAGTTTAGCCATGTTATGTGTGGGGTAAACAACCGTGATTGGTTAATTCCGCAGAGCAATAGCCAATGGCGCCTTGTATCAGCAAGTTGTGACAGCTGAATAGCAAGCCATTCCACTGTAACCATATAATCTGTATTATTTTTAACTGAACATTTTCTATTTGAGATGGGAAGGAAGGCAAGCCAGATTGCCAGACAGGAAAGAAACCAGCCATATCAGTGATAGAATCTAACAGTTGTAGCCCACTAGTCCTTATGATGATAACATATAGCAAAACTATTGGGCAGTTTGTCAAAGACTATAATACATGACTAGTGCCAATGTCTATCGCTGCGCATAGGCTACATGGTTATATTGCACACTGTCATTGTCAACCTCAGTTGCCAAGTCCCCTGAGTAAGTATGAACATTCTCAGGCTCATGTGACACTGGTGTTTACCTTAAGAACGTCTTAGGATTTGAAACACCAAGCTGACCTGAAGAAATTTAACAAACAGTCCGGGACATTGGGGCAGACTACTGATTGTCCATGAAATACTACAGCTTGTGGCAATGTCAGTTTATATTTGACACATGTAACGCCTAGCATTTGTAACTGCAGACCACAATATTCATGTTTCATCAGTCAGTAATTGTTGTGCAAAAATCAGCAATGTCACAACTGACCAACTGATCCATTTAATCGCTTCTTACAAGAGGTATAGGTTACTGTAGATTTTGTAACTAGACTTTAGCTTGTTTACTGAGCAAACATGCATTCCTGCTAACCATATAGTTTGCACGTGATTGTGTCCGCTTGTACTAGTCCTGACGAATGCCGATTTGATAGTGCTAGCCCACTGAGATACCATGCCACAGTGTTAACATGGACTCCCCACTCAGACACAGTATTCTGCCTCCTTGCTTCAACCCCTTAATGACAAGGGTGGTATGACGCGGCTGGGAAGTGAACCACCGACCTTCCACTAGACCACAGGGGGAACCATAAAGAATCATATAGGCCAAAACACACCAACACGTAGGACTTGCTCATTTGGATACAAAGTTACATGAACAAAAGGACCCCAGTCCTGCTGTTGTATTTGAACTTGTTTCTATAATGTGCCCCAAGTGAATTCTAAAAGTCCTTAACGCCTTGACACAAGAAAACATGTTTCCTGAAGTTACATTCAACCGTCCATTATCAAGCCAAACGAAACTTCACAGATACAAATTAATTACTAAGGCTAAAAAAATAAATAATCTTGGATCTTAGGAACTGCCCACATCATAAAGTCTGTCGCATGTTTTGCTTATATATCTATTTTTAATTATTTTTTAAGAAATCCTAATACTTATTGACAATGCGATCCAATATATCAGGCAGTTACTTCCCTTTATCTGCACACTGCTTTACTGCGCATCTCGCATTATGGTCAGGTTGGCAATAAGAGTTTGTATGCTTGTTTATGTAAGGAGGCCCTTTACAAGATTGATGGTACACAACTGTTTATTTTGGTTATATACTAGTTTGAACAAGCCAAAGAAAAACAAACCGCCACCCACCGGCACTATATTTTCAAAGGTCATTTCCTGAAAACCAATTCATTTATTTTTTTAAGCCTCAAGTAAAGAAGTATACTTCAGCCATAGTAGGCATTGTAAACAATGACTTCATGTTCTCTGGTCAACAACATTCTAAAGTTCATCTTATTTCCATGGACATGCAAACATCGAAAGAATGCATAGGCACTAGTTCACCATGAGGTGACAAAAGTAATGACATCATCCATGCGTCACAGGTTTCTACTCCGTTTGTCCACCACTTGGAGGTAGTAGTGTGAAACATCCATCACACGCAGGTACAGGTGAAGAACTGATGGAAGGATCCCCATTCCCCACCTGCAAACTTTGTTGAAGCAGAGCCCATAATTTCCCATACAATGGGACAAAAACCACAAAACATACTCATATAAATTACGTCTTTATTTCTTTTATACTTTTTCATAAGAGTCGCATCTTGTTTGATGAACAGGTCAACAAAAAATTAAGATGCCTGAGCCACTTTCACACTGGTCTTTGGAATGACACATTTGTCATACACCATATTTACCGGAGTAAGAACACACTGCACCTAGCAACCTCCATGTATGCTTAGTTCGACAAATATGGTGCCATAATGGCATAAAGTAACAGTTTGTGATAAAATGTCTCCAGTTCATTGCATCATGAATGTATGTACAGCTCCGTCAATGTTGCTATGAGTTGTGAGGTTGTTTAGGCGCGGGTGTATTTTCCCCAGATGTGGAGCATAAATACGGAGGCGATGAAGAGCAGGCTCATGACTAGGACTGGGACGGGACCACTGCAACAAAACAATCAGACATCTTATCACCAACCCTTCTCTGCAATATGTCTCATTTCCAAGAACCAATTAAACAAGGAAGGGCTTCCAAAAAAAATAAATGACCCTTTCCGCTTTACACCAACTTACTGTGGCTGACAATAAGAGTGATTCTATTTGACACCTTTTCAGTCACAAGATTGAAAGTTTAATTTCAGTGTCAGTATTCATTCAGTTGTTTCTATCTGGAGTTCCACAGCTCTAATGGTAGCACATACTGGAATTTATCACCAATAACTAGATCTACACAGAGTTACTTCCACTTGACTGGCTTATGACAGAAATCATGTTTTCTCAGCCAATGTGCTTGAATCTTCTTGGAACAGCAGTTTGTTTTTTGTGTGTGCCACATGGCACTTAAAAGCATTCACATGTGTTTCCTTAGAGATTGTGTGAAATTTTCACGTTCGTCCAGTTCACTGGAAAGTATATTTAACACTGGCTTCACATAAAATATATCATCACAATGAATTTTATTCTTAAACATGTGGTATCTGAGTGTACTGTTAAGGAACCAGGAACATATTATAACTGAGCCATGGACACTTTACAACCAATCTCATTAAAATCAGACCTTAGTTCTCGATGCCGTTAAACAAAGATCTGAAGACATCCCATTAGGGGTCACGTCAGAACGACCTTTCATCCGACCAATCAGAGCGTTGCTTACCAGGTTATGAAAGTGACAGTCGGAATGTGATTTCTAATCATGCAATTTTGAAAACTTTAACACAGGGTATTCCAAACGATGGTTACGGGCTTAACGACTGAATCCATAGAATCTAGACCATCTATTAGCCATTCCAGAATGTTCTTTTGTTTGGGTTTCTAATTTGATATCGAGAATTTGTCAAAATATGTTTCGAAGCATAGTCGCCAATTTGAAATTAGTACCGTAAAGCACGAGAAAGCTTCCTTCTGATTGGTCATTCTATTGGTCGGTCAAACTATGCGCAAAGTCGGTCTGACGTGACCCGTAATGGGATGTCCTCAGATCTTTGTTTAGCGGTAGCGAGAACTAAGATCTGATTTTAATGAGATTGCTTTACAACAAGAAATTTAAAACCCTGTAGACAGAGCACCATGGTGGAGCTACACCAGGTGATTGAGGACAACCACTGAGGTATCTTCCAGTAAACACTTACACTTTGATTCCAGGAGAGTCCTCGGTGTAGAATCTCCACATACCCGCACTGCTGCCTGCTGCTTTACGGGGCGCACTGGACGTTGTGGTGCTTTTCCTGAATCAGAGAGAGGGATTAGTAATTTGATACACAAATTGATGCAGGAACTCACACACATGTATCTATTTCCATAACACTATATCATACTAATAAATGAAATCCTAAAGGCCCTATGAAGCCATGTTTAGTTAGTGTCAACAATCATTGGCATAATTATCAGCACAGTTTAAATGTTTAAATGTATATTAATTGAGATTTCCAAGAAGAAATGAATCTTACTGGTTGAGGTTAAATTCACAATCATAAACATGATATATTCATAGTGACTTTCATCTAAAGAAAAAGGACACGCCCCAAAAGAGGTGAGGTTAAATGGGGTTATAGTCTCGTTCACAATTATTGCACTT